TTTTCCACCAGGCAGCTTTCCAGCCACTCTTCCCCAAGCCTGTAGCATTGCATGGGGTTGTTGTGACCCAAGTGCAGGACCCAGCACTTGGCCTTGTTGAACCTCATACAATTGGCCTTGGCCCATCGATCCAGCCTGTCCAGGTCCCTCTGCAGAGCCCTCCTCCCCTCGAGCAGATCAACACTACCACCCAGTTTGGTGTCATCTGCAAATTTGCTGAGGGCACACTCAATCCCCTCATCTTCAAACTGGTATTTTCACATCTGTTTTGCTGGTTTCCAACAATATGAAAGACTGTATTAAGGATATTACACAGGTGAGTAAGTTACACATTGGGTTTCTATTAAGTGTTTTGTCTCACCGAATGTTGGTTATGATTTGCTAATTCATCCAGTATTGTCAGAATCCCATTTTAAATTGAAATATTTTAGTAAGCTGTAACAAAAGGTTTAGGAACATAATTTTTAGAAGGTGATAGGTATCAACAAATAGAAGACTGCTTGAAAAATGTTTATGCTTAAAATATGACTACCGCACATATCCTTTTCAACTTTCATGCTCTAGTCAATGTATTATAATTGAGCTCTACTGAATTACTTTTCTAGTGGATAAATACTGTACATGCTGTAGTGTGAAGAGACATCATGTAATGTATACTAATTAAGCCATTATATCTGTAGAGAAGATAGTATCTGAAATATCAAATTAGTAGGAATTAAACATCTCAAAGGATTAATGAAATGTTATGGAGCCATTCACTTCCAGGTCAACAGGTTCAATTTCAGCTTAGTTTAATAGTTATAATGAATTTATGTGCTGGAGATAACAATTCTTTGCATCCATTCATAAATCAGGGTAAGAGCCCCTGGCTTGTACCAAGAACAGCAGCCTTTAACCAGTACAGCCAGAACAAGGTAGCCAGGAATATTATGCTAGGCCTGTATTTGGCATGTAGCCTTTGGCTCCATGAGATCAAACAACACATTTACTGGATGGCTGTAATATGTGTAGGCAGCAGTGAGGGACGCCAGAGACAGTCAGTCAGTTCTCTTTACAGATCTGCCAACAATTGCCAACCCCAGCAATAAAGTTACCACAGGCAGAACATTCAACTCCACCTTTTATTTGTCTTAGCTAAGAGTCCACTCTGCTTATCCTGATTCCTCTCTCAGCAGCCCTCGCTGCTTCTAGCAGAGACACCTGTAGCACAAGAAAAAGATGGGGTGGGGGCTCAGGAAAGAAAGGATCTCCCAAACTGTTGGAAAGTCCACCTATGCAGGTATTAGGGAAAAACTTAACCAATACTTATGAGGTGTTTAAGTGATCAAGAAAAGTGAGTTATTAGTATCAGCCCTTACTGCAGGTGACTAAACCACACTCTGCAATATGGATTGGAAACATAAAGAAGCTGCAGCATGCTGCAGACAGAAGTCCTATCCTGCTACCTCTATTACCAACGACACTTTGTCAACATCCTGCTCCCCCTTCAAAAGCTCCCAAGATCTGGAAAACAACAAGGATTTTCAGCAGAGAGAATTTTGATGGCAGTAAAATAGCTTACAACAGACTACTATATTGGAAATAGTTTTTCAGCCAGGGGTATGGAGATACCAACAACACACTGGAAAAAAAAAAAAAAAAGCTGTGGCAGCCTATATTATATATGAAAAAAGCATCAAGTTTTCAGGACTGTTCTCTTTTAATGACTACAAACAGAATTCAAGAACAAAGAGCATTCTAACAGCTGTTTGCTTTGCTTACCTGGCACTTACATATTTCAAGTTTAAAAAAAAAAAAAGTAAACATTACAAACCGAAAGTTATAAAGAGCCATTTTTATTACAGGACTGCCTTGAATGCACATCCCCTGCTTATCAAATCTCTCAACACTCCCACTACAGTAAATGCATTAAGAGATTGAGTGAAACTTGCACTCTATATTTAGCCATTCAACAGGAAGCTGTGAAGTACAGCATGCAATATTAGTGGTAGAAATGCAAATGCATTTTTACTCACCTATCTCACCTTTTTCACTTTAGCCACTATTGTTCCTCTTGTATGACATGCATCTTTCAAGCACTGAATTCCTTCAACAACACTTCTAGATCTACTTTTCCTGTGACTAAGTTACAAAACTGCAATGAAGTTTCTACAGATCATTAGGAGCTTGCAACCATAGTATTTTCCTAAGGGACATATTTTTAAATGATAGTGATGATGATTACTAATTTATTAATATATTCTAGTTTATAGGTATTAACATTATATATAATATTATTTCCTATACACACAACTTAAAATTATTGTATGTTCTTTAATTTTAAAAGTGCAATTTTTACTATGACTTCCTGAGCCTTTGGAAAGCAATATTTTTGTAATTTTTCTGTTCAAGACAGAAAAAAGAAAATACTTCAACAATATAGACAGATGTAATGTATAGTATTCAGTAAGAATTCAAGGAAAAAGTGCCCTCCAAGAGGCAGATGAGCATAAGGCATTTTCTCTGTTGGACACAGAAGTAGCAGAAAGAAGAAAACCCTCCCAAAGTACTTGAGAAAAATATTAGGAATAATTCAAGGTGTAAAGTAGAAACTAAAATTTTCAACATCCCACTTGGACTTTAACACTATATTGTTTTAGTGCAAAGGCCTAAATCTTGTGTTTGTAGGTGTACTTTATATATATATACACACATACGTATGTGTGTGTATGCATATGTAAGGTTTGTAAGGAGAGAGATATGTTTTATTAGATCAGTACAGCTGGAAAAACTACATAAGCCCTTTGTTGGTCTAACATAAGTTATTACCTCTCCCTTGAAACCTTTTCTCTCACATCACCATGATCATGGTCACAAGACTATTTACTTACAAATTAAAAAAAAAAAATCTCCCTCGGTGAACTCAAAAATTGCATCTCCAGCATGCCACTGCAACACTTAAGACACTTAAAACAGACAACAGAAATATGAAACTTGTGTAGTTTCATACTTCATCTTGAATGCTGTAAAAACTCTTCTATGTTCTCCTTAGTCCTAAGAGACACAAGCATCAAGCTGCATATCAACCAGGAGCCCTGGATAACAAAATAAGCTTTGACAATGAAGCAAGAGTGAGGCAACAGCGTTGGGGTCTTGGTGTTGCAGTATAAACTATAAGGTCCACAGGGAAATCTAAATGGTGTATTTTTCTGTTTACCTTCAGGTGACAATGTCCAAATGCTTCAACACATCACTGAACGTCTGTTACAAAAACTCCTGTCACTAAGAATAAAAATGGATGGATGAATAATGGCCAGGCTGGACCTTCTGCCTCTTGCCAGTAGTACTGAGCAGAGATTTAAATGCTGCTTGTAAGCAATATGCAGCCAATCTAGACCTATATAATCAGACCAACATTACAGATACATCAACTTACCTCTGAATAGAGATAAGTTAGGTAGTTGCTGGCATTTCTCAAAGGACCCCAGTTCGTCGTCTCAAGTCAGTAATGAATTACTTGTTTCACAACCTTTTTTTCAACTATATTCACTGACAGCACTGAATAGGTTATTTGTCCCTTTTTAAAAGCTTGCATTCTGATTTAATTGAAGAAATATAATATAGCCTGCCCCTCTCCATATATAAAAAAAGAATGTTTCAAATTACTATACACTGTAAAATACTTTGAATGTCCCCTTCATGTAAAACCCTACCATACATGAAACAGATTTCTGCTTTAATGCAATTGAGTAACAAAAAACCTAATAGCAAATACATCTTAACAGATAAAGTAATGGGATTTCTGTTTTTTATTTTCATTCACTGCCACCTCTTTCTACATCTTCCTGCAAGATCAACATTTCAATATTTTCATCAACTGCAAGGCAAGGATTACTCAAACATGTGCAAATAAAGATTAACATGCTGGCTATACTGGCTAGCCCATCATGAAAGGCAGAGCTTTACCTATATTGTGCATATTGGTCTCCACGGTATAAAATGTGTGGCTTCAGGAGGACTGGGGGGAGGGGGAGGATGCTCAGAATTAGATGCTGGTTTCCTGAAATCACCTTTTAGGACGACGTACAGCTGCAAAAGCTGTTTCGTCAAGAAATCTTTTTGTATTTGTCTACTACATAATATATTTCCACATCAGCAATCACTTCTATCCAAACAGATATATCCAAATCAAACATCATTGCAGTAAAACTGCTCTCTGATGAGGCACCCATATCAATTAAAAAAGACAATGGCCATCCTTGCAAAGCATTCTAGTGCTACCAGCTCGTTCTTATATAGTGTTTTTTCAGAAGAAAGACTTCCTTGAAAACTATTTAACTCCTTTTTTTAAATTGAACTTTGTGCAACCCTTTCAGGTTGCTTTGAAGAGAAATGTTGAATCAATCCATATTCTAAAATGCCTTAGAAAGAAGAAAAATCCCAGCAGTAAATCCACCTAATTAAGTGGGGGTGTATCTAGCCCATAGGCTATTACCGCATCTCAGCTTAATATTTTTAAACATACTATACGTGGAACAGGCGGTAAGCTCTCCTCATTATTTCTCAAATGAAGCTGAACAGATCTAACCCAAATTACAGCAAGATAAACCAGACAACTTAAGTGATGAAAATTGTACTTTTTCCTCTGCTTTAGGGACGCTTCTGGCTCATCTGTCCTCTGATCAAGGTGAGCCTGATAAAGCTGAAAATTACACTGTGTGACTGGATTGTATGAGATTATCTTTCCCCTGAGAAGTGATTTATTTTAGTAACTCTTGATGAATAAGAAACTTTCTGCTCCAGCATGCTGCTCTTCTTGTGCGGGCATGGTTCCTTATTGCTTTGAGTGAGAGACCACATAAAAGAAACATAGAACATTAGTGGCTACATCTTCTTTATGGTTCAAAGACAAATTTGCGCTATAAGACAGACCTTCAAGGACCAAGTTTCAAAAAAAGTGAAAATTATTATGATTAGTTTGTAGGTTTAACTGCAAAAGTTACTGGCATATCTTCCACTTTTTGAGTGTGAGGAACATCCAGTTTTTGTTTTGAGAGGTCTTGCTTTGTAGAATTCGGGGGTTCTTGATCTTTAGACGATTCCAGGAGATGTTGCATGTTAAGTTTGAAAATGAGGCGAGGATCTGGTCCAGAAAGAGATGGGCAATTGCAGCTCTCTCTTATTTTAAGAGCCTGTGAATACATAGGAAAACAAATCAAGCTCATTTAAGTAAGAAAAACAAAAAACCAAAACAGGATTTGGCTTTCCAGTAAGGTCTGCATTTGCACAAAAAGCTTTGTGAGTATAATACTGAGTCTGAGTTGTTACTGAACAACTTTTCAACAGAAACCAAGAAATCCTGAGAAGAAATGTAGCAACATGGTAAAACAATGGAAAGAATGAAGAATGAAAATACTTTTCTCACAGTCTCTCAAAGAATGGATACTCTAAAAGGCACAGCATAAATAAATAGGAAGTTCTCCAACTATTCTGTGATACTTGTTCACGTCAGTACTTCTTACCTTTTAATTTACATTCACATGTAAATTAAAATGATTGCATCAAGAAACAAAGGGCTGTGAATAATTTACTTCATAAGATATAGTCTACTATTGAAGTAACTATATATATATATGTCTGACTCAAAAAAGGAAGGAAAAATCTCCAACAACTTAATGGACATGTAACTTCAGCACAGAGATGCCAGATGGTTGATCAGTATAGTTAAGGTTCAGTTACACAAGTGATCTCATCTCCCAGAAGCATTTGAATACACAACTTCCAAGTTTTCTGAGAAAACAACATCTCTAGAAGGTCAAAATTTATCTAGATAAAAAGATTAGCACTAAGAGACCAAACTTTAAATTACTCCCAGTCACTGAGTAAGTGCCATTGTTTCCATTCTACAGATTAGAAAGTAGAGGCACAAAGGAGCCAAAGAATTTCCCAGAGAATCAAAATCCATTAGCGCAGGCACACTCCCCCCAGATCATTCTGCCTTGAAGACAATCTGAGAAAGGTATGACAAAGGATGAATCTCTGTCTCAAAGGCACTGTGGAGAAACTGATATAAAACATATGAGGTCAGCTGTTTTAAAGGATGCTTAAGTTGTTGTTCATTGCAATGAAGCTGAACATACTTTAATTAGTCCATAAAACCAGGCAGCTCATTTTAGAGATAACAAAGGATACTGCACAACTAAGTCCAATGCAGTACTTTGCTAGCTGTTGTACACAGATCTACTACTATCCATGGATTCTCCTACAAGACCCATTTAAACTAACCAAGAAAACCCAGTTCCTATGTAGCATATAGCAAAATATTATATGTAGAATTCTAGAGGGTTCTACATCTCTGCTGAAAACTATTTTTTCAAGATTTTCAAAATGAAACACCAAAAAACCACCAAGTCAAAACCTAGCCTGATATTTAGCACTAACCAATGGTCACCGTGGTATGGTCACTTTTATGGAGGATTATCTGCATCTTAGCCTCAATTAACAGTACAAAACTATGGGCAGATTAACATCCAGTTTTATTTTTAATCCTTACATGGGAAAGTAAGTTCAAATGTGTATTTTATTCCACTTCTCTTCATAACCGTGGATCCTTGAAAAGTAATGGCCAGACCTGTCCTGAGTTGTAGCCAGGTGCCTCTTGACCAGTACAAGGGACTGTTAGTGGAAAGCATGGCTTGATGCATTTGTTCCAGGTGCATTAAAGAGGAAGAAAAAAGTAGCACAGTTTTCATAGCAGTCCTACCACTGCACTTAAAAAACAGAGCAGAAACTTACTCTGCTTTATATACACTAGATCTGGCTGAAATATCAAATAAAATATTCCAGTACACTTACACATAAGTATTTGCCCATCATCTTGAAACAATTTGGTACTCTTCCACAGGAGACACTAGGAATATCTTACTACAGCAGATTTTAAAATAGAAGAGCAGCGCTTCTTAACTCATTTCTTTGTACAAAGAGGTACCAAAACATATTTCACCCTAGCTTTACTACAGTGAACTGATAAAGAGTTTGCTGTAAATGGCTAGAAACAAATAGAATTTAAATTTAAAAACTGGGTTTAGGAAAAGATGCATTCCAGGAATGTAGCAAGAGTTCCTCCAGCTGCTTCTTGCTGAAATGTAACATTCAAATTACTGGATACACAGGTCTGGATTAGGCACGCAAATATTCTTCTTGTGTAACTTCTAAAAAATACAAATAAAGCTTTCAGTATTTGTGTTTCTACAGCGTGATCATCCATGTAGTCACCAAATGTAACTGTATCGTTGAACGCCCTTCTGCTTCAGTGACCAATTAATTTCTAAACTGACATTTATGACAATCCAAGAGTTTGCTCTTGTTCTCTTCCAGAACATAAGCTGCTGCAAGACTGCATTAATGTCAAGCAGCATTATTCAATGCAAATGGAAATACAAAGATTTAGGTTGTATCCTGGAAAGGGCAACTTAATAGTCTTTTAAAATATTTTAGCAATTTTAAATGTCCGGTTTTCTTGGCTATATAGTGCCTGGCCTATTTTCATGGTTTCTTTTATCTAAAATACTAGAGTCACAACAGCAAAGGTAAAAAACAGTATTTCAGAGTTAACATTTTTACCCTGTAGGTGTCTTTGCATTCTTGCTAGATGTAAAGCTGTCCAAGGAGGTAGAAGGCATCTATTCAACACCATCAACTCACATGCCATTAAAGAGACTACAGTTATAAGAATGGAAAGCTATGTTGACATGTCTTCTCACTGTTAAAGACAGCTATGACTACACACTCTAGTGAAAGTAGTCTTTGTATGTACTTTTATGACTGCCATGCAAAATTAAACCCTAGTTAGAAAGCGTTCTTTCCCTGGTTCAGTTGACTGCTGCTGTTTTGTTTTGTGCCAGTAGCTCTGTAACGTCATTAAGATGCCAGTGACAGGCTGAGGAGCTTACAATATATTTTTTCCTGAAAGATAAATCAGCCCAACATGGTCAGCCATACTGTACTTTCAAAATCACTAGAAACTTCAAATCAAGTAATTCAGTATTGCTCAAGTAAATTGGTTTTTGACAGTTTGGGTAAGAGGACAAGTAAAAGCATTCTTAATGAAGCACATGCATATTGATATTAAAATAAGAACATGTTTCATTGACTTTATACTGAAGAGTGTTGTCAATAAAGAGGATGGACAGAACTGAGACAAGGTTAACTAGCTAGAGTGATTACATAGATTCACCTGGGAACCAAGAGTACTTTAATGCTGGTCTTTTCAGGTTAACCTTAAGAGAGAAATACTGCTGCTAACAATAAAGACCACCTGCATGCTTACTGGTTCAGGAGATCTCAAATAAACATCGAACTCTTCCTTGTAAGTAACAAAGGTGAGGCTGTTTTTCTTATCAATACAACTGCAGTCACCTCCTGCAATGTGCTGGGAGGGGGGAAGGCATAAGAATTAGGGAGGCCTGCCTCATCCTATTGCTTTCTTATAAAGCCGACCAGCAGAGACAAATATAGAAAAAAGTAATTTTTAGCTCTCAGTATTAATCCTTCACCACTGCCACAGATACCAGGCTAACTGCTGCATCGTGACCCCTTACAGTCTTTTGGAGTGCATCCCACTTCTCAGGCTGTCAGCTCGCTCGGCATAGAAGCCACATCATTCTCTTGTCCGCAAACCAGGCCAAGGGTTATAGTCTCTTGTGTATTAACTGCAATTACCTCGGCAGGGCTGACTTACGCTCTGTAGGGAAAAAAAGAAAAAAAAAATTAAAAAAAGTAAGAAACTCTGAGTTGCAAAATTAATTACAATTAGTAGGCATAGGGAAGACAACAGGTTCTACAAATGAAACAGTAGTAAATAGATGATTAAAAGAATGGCAAGGTTTGTTACTTGATGGAGTAGAATAGCAACCTTTATATAATGCTAATACTTAAAATCTTTCACTGCTTCTGTTGGCACAGAAAAGAAAAATGGTGACAAAATATTTAACAGCTTTATGGAGAGGACAGAAACACAGGTCAGTATTTTTTATAATTATTTTCCCTTAAGTTTTCACAATGATAGGGCTTAATTAATATATTCTAGTACTAGAACTATCTGAAGTAATCTTCACATCATAAGCAAAAGGCAAATATACCAAGCCATTTTTGAAAAGGAAGTGAAATGAATGTATCTTCAATATCCCTAAAGGCAGCAGAATTAAGAATAAGCAATAACTACCCAAACAATAATAATGAACAGCCAATGTGGATTTGACAAAAACAGATCTTGCCAAAGCAAATCAATTAACTTTTTGACAAGTCAATTGACCTAGCAAACAAAAGAGAAACAGTAGAGGTGACATATCCCAACCTAGTATTACTCCCAAAATTATCTCAACACGGCATTTCCACAAGAAGGAGTGGGAAACGGGAGTTACAGTGAATCAAAAATGGAATCTGAGCCAACAACATGATGCCAAAAAAGCAAATGTCATGTCAAGATGAATTTTTGTGTTGCAGGCAAGGCTCAGTAGGTAACCTTCTGCTTTATTCAGAATAGCTGAGGCTTCAGCTGATGTACAGCGCTCTATCTAGACAGCATACTAGGAAAAAGGTAGACAAACTGTAGCAAGTCAGAGAAAATTAAAATAAAAGGTTTGGAGATGAACTAGAAGATCCTATAGCTTCTCTCTGGCACTACACTTCCACAATTTTTCTCTCCAGAACAATGGTAAGCATCCTTCCTGCTAGTACAAAATTATTTTAAGATTTTTCTGAAAATAAAATGCATAAGGCTTTACTGAGGATTTCATCACCTTCCATGCAGGAATTTCAGTTCTATGAAAAAGGAGATTTCAGTTTCCTTTTTAACAGTATATTCTGTTTTCGTAGTTTACAGTCCAAATCTCTCCCAAGCTGAGGGGAAAATCCTTTAAAAACATGGTAAATCTTTTTAATTTCCTTTCCAGGACCGTGCCACTTTGTAACTGCTTATAGCTCTCTTATTTACTAATTCCTCAGCTTGGCTGTAGCTTCCAACTTGTTCAGAAAACCAGATGCAAGATCTTTAAAGACAGGGAGCAAATCAAATGAGTTTTAATTACGTGAAAAGAGAATCCCTGTGATATTCTTGCTTTAATTTACATTTCCTGAGACTGTTAAGTCACCTCATTGAGACATGCCATTTCATTACCTGAAGAAAAATTCTCACTTTATATGATCACATCTTACTGTGGACTTGCTTAGAAGTCTCTAACTTGTCTCTATTACCCTCAGCTACAGTAGCTGGTCTAATAATAGCTATTATATTGTCCTGAAAACCATTTCAGCTTCAAAACCATCAGCATATGAAACACAACAATATTTGTATCAGTATCTTTAATACGAACCCATCTATTTCATTCACATCTTCAGAAGAAGAGCAATTTCAACTGAAGTAATATTCAAAGTCAAGTACAAAGGTTAAAACCCAGCAGAGGTTTTTTCTTTTTTTTTTAGGATTTAAACCCTTGTTTCTTGCTCACGATGGATCTGATACTGAGTCTAAGAAGTACAGCTTCTTCACAGAGAGATACTAGAGAGATAAAAAGGCCCTTTTCAAAATCTGGCTTCTCCCCCTGGGCTCTGAATATCTAATGGCCATTAATATATGGTAAACACACCGTTCTAAAAGGCTTTAAGTATGTGAACAATGAAACAAAAACGCATTGATATTGAACAACAACCAAGCCCTGGGATTCCCTTTAAATGCCTGAGATCCCGCTTCAAGAAGGCAGCTCGCAGATGAAGGGGAGTCAACACTTCAGACAAGAAGCCTCCAACACCACCTCTACATACCTTCTTTCATTTTCATTCCACTTTTGTAATATTAGCCTCACTTACTAGTGAAATTCTGTTAATAACAGGGAGCCTTCAGCCTTTGCTTTCTCATCCTACTCCAAAGAACACTTAGGGTAAAAGGCAAATGAAAACATCTCCTCCTCAATTATCTTTTGGAAGAGAATTTCCTAGCCTCCATTGCCTCTTGGAAGTGAGAGTGGCTATAAAAAGATTGTTTGCTCCACCTGCTAAACTACAAGAGATAAGACAGAAATAACATGACTGCCAGTTCTCCACAGTTGCTCAGTTATTTAAATTACTTGCTCAGTCCTGGGGTAGATAGAACATAAAAAGTAATTTATTTCATTACCACTTTATAAGCCAGTCAATAACTATGAAAATAAAGGAATCTGAACCGTTTGTGTTCAATCTAACTAAAATTGAGGCTCCACAACAAGTACCATTTTCCACTCAGCTGCCCTAAAGTGTTAGAAAATCCATCAAAATAGTCTCACAACTGGTTTCTGCAAAGTACAGAATTTGTGTATGTCTATTTCAAATATTTAAAATATTCAGTCTAGCCAGTCTCCAACCTCCTACCCCTAATGCTGATTTTGATTTATGCCGTTATTTAGAATACTTACCAGCTGGTTATAAGAAAGGAAATTTCCAAACACAGTTTAGCTTGCTGAAAAACAGTGCTGTTGTGAAGTGCTTAAACACTATCTTTTAAAAAGAAAAAGCAACCCATGCTATTTTTCTGTAGTTAAAAACCCTGCTATTTAAAGAAATAGTAAACAAACTAAGATTACTAAACTTGGAACAGTTCTCTGTTCTTAAGCTACCAGCGAGTAGTACAGCAGATTAAGAGAACAGAATCCCCAAGTAACTATCCACTTGGCATTCCTCTGAGAGGAAATCTGAAAGAAAAACAGAGAAAAGACTGTAGATTGATGGGCAACTACATGAATTAGCTCACGTTCCTTGGAGTGGGGTAAAATTTGCTCCCTGATGTGACGGAACAGAGATGTGAAGAAAAAAGCAGCCTGCAAAATCTACAGAGACCTATTGTTACAAGGGCTATTAAGAAATCTTCTACTGGGGATCTGACATTCTTCTAAGGCACAGTTATTCGAGGTGTATTCAATCCCACATCAGTGAGAGAGACACGATAGGGTGGAGCGTTCTCTATTTGACAGCCTAGGGCTAGCTATCAAAGCAAGAGAAGTCAAGACAGTTTAGGGATCCTACTTAAGAACTAGCTTCCAAAATGGTAAAAGAGAGAAAAGAATGAATGAGAACTGTGACACTGTCACACCTATACCAGGAAGGCCATTCAAAAGCAAAAATACTCCACTTTGACCAGAAATCAGAAAAGAAAAAAAATAAATCTATAACATAATTATATTTTGCCTGCACTATCTTAATTTTTCCTCATTTAATAAAACCTTTAATGTTGAGAGCTTTGTAACAGAAAATTTCTGTAAAGAGAAAGATAGGCACAATACTAAAAGAGTAGATTGTGAATCAATACCGAAGTAGCACATGAATCAATACCAAACTAATTCTGGCAACCTTCCTAAGAGAAAAAGACACACTTTCTTCAACTCTGCTCACCTCTGGGATAAGCCGGTCTAAATGCTCAGCTCTATTTTCATGAGAAGGGTGTGTGGAGAGCCACTCTGGTAACTTGGGCTGCCCTTGAATGGTTTCTGCTAATTCCATTTGCTGCCAAAACACACTGCTTGCTCGTACATCCACACAAGCCTGAAAACAGAAAGGAGATGTATATACCACTATATTATTAAAGTAATACAATACACATTCTAATGGATATTGAATTACAAAAGACATCTTAAATTTTAAATCTCTAAAGCCTGTTTAGATGATCCCGCTGATACCTTACAGGAAAAGGCTGTTCTAAAATATCTAAATGCAGTAAAAATCTCATCCAGACAGACACTGGATTTGTTCCTTTTAACATCTATGCAATTCCACCGATCTTAAAAAACTTGCACCCAAATTAGACAATGCAGGAGAAAAACCAGATTCACAATTTCTGGCATGTACCTGTTCTTTAAAAAAACCTCAGCTGCTTATTCAAAGTTGTATTTGCTAGACACAGTACAGCAGAAGAACAAATTAATCATCTCCACAGATTTAGGCAGATTCACAGCAAGAAATTTGGAGTAAAAAATATAAACTTATAATAATTCATACTTAAAATATCTCTAAAAATGAACTGCAAAGGCTTTTCTGTAAGTGATTACATTGCCTTTTTCAAGGGCCATCTGTGTAATCCACGATAGATGAAAACAATAATTCTGGAGAATTCCTGCCTCTCTCCATAGAAGTATATAATTTAACCATAGAAATTCATGGAACACTAACTTTAAGAAGCATTTGTATATCACCAACAGGCTCCCTTATATTTGCATTTAAGTGAAAGGGAAAGAAAGAACAAGATTTCTTATATTAATTTTCATTTGTTTAAGAAAAAAAGGAGGACTATGCAGAAGGTAAGAAAATTACTTTTTTTCCCCCCAGAAATACAGAAGTGGTACTTTATCCTTTGAATTTATTTATTAAAATTATTATTATAAAAATATTATCTGTACAAGCAGAGAAATGCTGAGATACCAATTTGATTTTTTCTTTCTGGTATGGCCCTGTATCTTAGGTATTACAAAACAGTGAGCACCCAAACCACAGTTAATTTTTTTTAATGGATTGTACGATTCTCTTAAATGACTTTAAATTACAAATGCAGCTTCAATCCTAGAATAAAAGTTAATTTTAAAAACTCTTCCTTGAAGAAATAGTAATAATTATTAAGGAAATTTTCCTTATGAAATATTAACACTAGATGGTGCTGCTCTCATAGTTATCTAACACCTAGCTCTATCGCATGTAGCTAGAAAGAGTTGGTTTAGTTTCTTTAATTTCGAATTAAAATCCACAGGGACAAAAAATAGTGACTGAAAAAACAAATTGTGAAAAAAATGCTGAATAGTTTCTGACTAAATTTTTGTCTTACTTTAGAGAAGCCTAATTATTTTTATGGCTGTATTTAGATAAATCTTTAAATAGTAGAACAATATTTATGTACTTCATAATTATCAGCAATCACAGAAAATATAATCGCAATATCAAGTTCTTAAATTTTACTGTATTGTTATGAGATTAGATATTGTGGATCAGAATATTTTAGGTACAGGGCAATATAGTAAAGCATTCCTCAGAGCTTCTCACAATAGACTGAAACTAAGTGAAACAAAAATCTAAAGGGCAATTTATGTCTTTACATACAATTAAATATATCCTACTTAAGGAACTTGACTATTTGGCATTCTCCTCTTTATAAGTATGTAGCTGCTTCTTCTAATAGTAATAAACTACATAAAAAGTATACTGTGCACTTAATAATACACAACTTCACAAACTTCAATTTTATTACATACAATTTAGCCAGAATGACTTTGTCT